TACAAAAAAATCCCAATACGTGTAAATTAATTTTTTTTTTTTAAGTCCGCAAACGTGCAACTATAACGAAAAACCTGTAAGTGTTCACAAAAAAGTGCAAGTGCAAAACACCACACGAAAAAGTGCACTTAGGGGTGTGCTTTTGTCCTACCCCTTAAAGGGGCTGGACCGCTACCCTGATCCCCCGGGGCACGAAGCTCCTGACAGGGACAAGGTTCCCATTTGGTCCTCCTGGCCAAAAGGCCTGGTGGACCACCGTTCCTTGTGTCCAGCCGAAGCCGGACACCCAGTACTTGGTCAGGGGGCTCTCCCGAAGAGAAAACCCCCTAGGGACAGGGGAGGAAGGAACCAAAAGGCCACACATCCTCCCCCTAGACTTCAGGGCAGGCCCGAGGACCAACGCCCTCCATCCTGTGAAAAACACACACAAAAGTAAGAAAAAGTGACAAAACGTGGGAGTGATAATAAATTAAATAAATAGAAAATAAAAAAGTGGCCGTGCCAAATTGTGCACAGACCAGGCCCTGAGGCCTGTAGCAAAAAATTGCCCTGGTCCTAGCCAAAAGGCCTGGTCCTTAGGGCGCTTGTGCAAAAAGAGTGAAAAAACAGTGACCTTGTGCCATCTTCACACTGTGGGGTCCCACACCCAGGTGTTACTAGTGGCACCCCTGAGGGCGTCTACTCAGGGGGCACTGGTTTGCGGACTTTCTGCCTTCCCGACCCCTGGCCAGACAAGGTAGATCCGTCCAAATCAGGAGGTACTGGGTCCTTCCGGTCTTCTCGGGGGAATTACTCACGGGCCCCAGCTTCTACTCGTGGGCACCACGCTTTCTGTCCCCCCGGGTACTAGCCTTCCAGACCCCCATCATACCAGTGAGGGTACTATACAACAGCCATCCCTGCAAAGCTAGAATGGCCGGGAGCACCCCCACTGGACACTGATAAGAACAGATACTACACTTGATCTTAGCCAAAAAATAAGTGTAAATTAATTGGTTTACTTGAAAGTTATAGTGTTTACAAATGGCGGTATACATACCGGGATTTTTTTTTTCTTACTAGTAATGGCGGCGATCAGCAACTTATAGCGGGACTGCAGGACTACGTCAGGCATTCTGACACTGGGGGTAACTAATGTGGTGTCACTGATATCACCAGTGACACCAATACAGTGATCAGTGCTAATAAAAATCACTGACACTGTGCTAATGGCACTGGGCAGGAAGGGGATAACATGAGAGGCGATCAAAGGGTTTTGCTGTCTGCTGTGTGCTGTTTAACATAGTGCTATGTCTGTGTGCTTCACAGTAAGCACACTGCTTTGTATGGCTGTGCTGTGCATAGCTATCCAAAACAGTGTGCATGAGCTGATAGACAGAACTGTTTTGTTTATAAACAATTCTCCTCCCCGTCGGAGATGCTTGGCAATCACCGGGTTGACAGCCGTGGCTGCAATGGCAGCACAGGTAGGGCACAGGAGACCGGATATAGTGAATGCAGGGTCCGGGGAGAGCGGATATAGTGAATGCAGGGTCCGGGGTGACCGGATATAGTGAATGCAGGGTCCGGGGTGACCGGATATAGTGAATGCAGGGTCCGAGGTGAGTGGATATAGTGAATGCAGGGTGCGGGGAGACCGGATATAGTGAATGCAGGGTCTGGGGAGAGTGGATATAGTGAATGCAGGGTCCTGGGAGACCAGATATAGTGAATGCAGGGTCCGGGGAGATCGGATATAGTGAATGCAGGGTGCAGGGAGACCGGATATAGTGAATGCAGGGTGCAGGGAGACCGGATATAGTGAATGCAGGGTCTGGGGAGAGTGGATATAGTGAATGCAGGGTCCTGGGAGACCAGATATAGTGAATGCAGGGTCCGGGGAGACCGGATATAGTGAATGCAGGGTCTGGAGAGACCAGATATAGTGAATGCAGGGTCCGGGGAGACCGGATATAGTGAATGCAGGGTCCGGGGAGACCGGATATAGTGAATGCAGGGTCCGGGGAGACCGGATATAGTGAATGCAGGGTCCGGGGAGACCGGATATAGTGAATGCAGGGTCCGGGGAGACCGGATATAGTGAATGCAGGGTCCGGGGAGACTGGATATAGTGAATGCAGGGTCCGGGGACACCGGATATAGTGAATGCAGGGTCTGGAGAGACCAGATATAGTGAATACAGGGTCCGGGGAGACCAGGTAAAGTGAATGCAGGGTCTGGGGAGACAGGATATAGTGAATGCAGGGTCCGGGGAGACCGGATATAGTGAATGCAGGGTCCGGGGAGACCGGATATAGTGAATGCAGGGTCCGGGGAGACCGGATATAGTGAATGCAGGGTCCGGGGAGACCGGATATAGTGAATGCAGGGTCCGGGGAGACCGGATATAGTGAATGCAGGGTCCGGGGAGACCGGATATAGTGAATGCAGGGTCCGGGGAGACCGGATATAGTGAATGCAGGGTCCGGGGAGACCGGATATAGTGAATGCAGGGTCTGGGGAGACCAGATATAGTGAATGCGGGGGTCCAGGGAGACCAGATATAGTGAATGCAGGGTCCGGGGAGACTGGATATAGTGAATGCAGGGTCCGGGGACACCGGATATAGTGAATGCAGGGTCTGGAGAGACCAGATATAGTGAATACAGGGTCCGGGGAGACCAGGTAAAGTGAATGCAGGGTCTGGGGAGACAGGATATAGTGAATGCAGGGTCCGGGGAGACCGGATATAGTGAATGCAGGGTCTGGAGAGACCAGATATAGTGAATACAGGGTCCGGGGAGACCAGGTAAAGTGAATGCAGGGTCTGGGGAGACAGGATATAGTGAATGCAGGGTCCGGGGAGACCGGATATAGTGAATGCAGGGTCCGGGGAGAGACCGGATATAGTGAATGCAGGGTCTGGGGTTTAGTAACACTTTAAGGAGATTCCCCCTCTCTATTTGTCCTGTTGAAAGTGAAAGTAAAAGAAATACCAAATTATGAGTTTTTCCCAGAAAAGTAATAAAGAGGAAATCATCCAGTAGGGACATTAATTCTGGTTACCTGGGGGGCCCCAATGAATTCACTTAATTTGCAGAGATTTCCTCTTACTTCCTGTTTGGTTATGGGACTCAAAGTGAAGGGAAATCTCTGCAAGGGGACACACATGGTGAAAAAAGTGACAGGGGTTTTAACCCTCCCTTACTCTAAAACATGAAAAAAAAAAGTTTTACCTACAGTTCTGCTTTTATGGTGGGTAGGGCAGTCTCCAGTCAGTCTGTTAGCTTGGAGAAGTGAGAGGCAGGGGAGTTCATTGCCATCCCAGACTATGGGGCTGTGTGTTTATATTGATAGGGAGACACAACTTTAGTCCCTGCATGCAATGGTGGCTCCATAGGACACTGAAATAGAAAGGAGCCACCCTGAAACAGGAAACCTGGGGCAGTGGTCATGGCACCAGCTTAAACTGGAACATAGACAAGGATTAAATAATAAAGAAGCTGCATTCTGAATAATTGATTACATGAGCTGCTCAAAGTGCTTAAAAATGGAGGGTTTAGTAATGCTTTAAACACTTCAAGTCCAAACACTTTCACCCCCTTCCTGCCCAGGCCAATTTTCAGCTTTCAGCACTGTCACACTTTGCATGACAATTGCGCGGTCATGCACCACTGTACCCATATGAATTTTTTAGCATTTTTTTTAGACAGATAAAACTTTATTTTGGTGGTATTTACTCACCACTGGGATTTTTATTTTTTTGCTATATAAATGAAAAAGTCCAAACAGTTTGAAAAAAGTGTTTTTCTTATAGACTGTTGTAAATAAATAATCCTTCTTCATAAATCTTGGCCAAGCTATCTTTTTAGTAAAAAAATAACACAAATTAGTTTATAACCAAAATTATAATTTAAAAAAAAAAAATTACATTTTTATATTATTATTATTTTTTTTTTTTTTTTTTAACATACTGTCACCCTAGCAGTACGGTGTCACCATAGTGACACTGTACTACTTGTGAGGGTGATGAAGATTTTTTTTTCTTCTTTTACACTGATTGCTTTTACACCCATAAAGGTGTATCTGTATTTTAAAAGTCAACAGCTACAGTTTTCCTAGCTGCTGACTTTTATTTTTTTTTATCAAGCAGCCTGCTGGATAAAGGAGCGCACTTCCGCCTTTGCAGGCCAGCGCATGCTCCGAAACATGTCGCAGTGCATTCTGGGTATCTGACATCATCACGGCCATGCCGCCGCTGCGTTCCAGCGTGCGTTCCACCCGGCTCTGAAGGGAGGACGTGCACGCCGGCCAGCTCCTCAGCTGTTCCCCTTCAGCCACCACGCTGCTCCAGCGGCACGCTGACTACACCATCCTCCATTCTGATGACAGCTCTTCCCCCTGTACACCCATCTGACCGATGTTACAACCTACTACGGTTTTTTAACCACTTCCCGACCGGCCGTTGCATATAAACGGCCCGGACGGTGGCAGTGCAGGGTCGGGTGGCCGTTTATAAACGGCCTCCCCGCACCCTGCTTGTGCGCGCTCCCTGGGAGCAAGCAGCACCGCGATCCTGTGCCCGCTGTTTCCTCCGGACACAGTGAAACACCGATCGTCAGACGGGACCTCTGTATGAGGTCCCGATCATGTGATCACTGGTTGGCCAATCAGTGATCACATGCAAAGTAGTAAACAAGATGTCACTTGTGACATCATTGCTTACTACGTGTGAAATCTGTGAATGATCACAGAGGTCACATGGTACAAGGCTATTCACAACAGCCTTGTACCATGTGACAAGTTGTGACCAATCACAGCTCACTCAGTACTTCTCAATGAGTGCAAGAATGCAGACAGAGAGAAAGAGAAATGATTGCTTTTACATCCTATATGGGTGTAAAAGCAATCAGTGTAAAAAAAAAAAAAAAAAAAAATCTTCATCACCCCCACAAGTAGTACAGTGTCACCATGGTGACACTGTTACTGCTAGGGTGACAGTATGTAAAAAAAAAAAAAAAGAAGAATATAAAAAAAATAAATAAAAAATGTAATAAAAATGCTTAAAAAATTATAATTTTTGGTTATAAACTAATTTGGATTTTTTTTTTTTTACTAAAAAGATAATGGAATAAATTTTGGCAAAGATTTATGATAAAATATTATTTATTTGCAAAATTTTATAAAAAAAACACTTTTTTTTAAAAATTTTGGACATTTTCATTTACATAGCAAAAAAAATAAAAAAATCCCAGCGGTGAATAAATACCACCAAAATAAAGCTTTTCTGTCTCAAAAAAATTGTAAAAAATTCATTTGGGTACAGTGTTGCATGACCTCAGCCGCGCAATTGTCATTCAAAGTGTGATAGCGCTGAAAGCTGAAAATTGCCATGGGACAGGAAGGGGGTAAAAGTGTCCGGTCTGTAAGTGGTTAATGATTTATATTAACCTCAACCATGTGAGTGATTTTACCTTTCAACCTTAAACCACTTGCCTACCAGGCACTTATACCCCCTTCCTTACCAGGCCAATTTTCAGCTTTCAGCGCTGCCGCACTTTGATTGACAATTGCGCGGTCATGCAACATTGTACCCATATGAAATTTTGATCATTTTTTTCTCACAAATAGAGCTTTCTTTTGGTGGTATTTAATCGCCACTGGGCGCTTTACTTTTTGCGCTATAAATTAAAAAAAGTGCAAAAAATTTGAAAAAAAAAAAAAAAAGTTTATTTGTTTCTTTTATAAAATTTTTCAAACAGGTATTTTTTCTCCTTCACTGATTTGCGTTGATGAGGCGGCACTGATGGGCACTGATAGGCGGCACTGATGGGCACTGATAGGCGGGCACTGATGGGCACTGATAGGCAGCACTAAAGGGCACTGATAGGCAGTACTAATGAGGTGGCACGGATTAGGCGGCACTGATATGCAGCACTGATAGGCGGCACTGATAGGTGACACTGATGATGGGTACTGATAGACGGCACTGACTGGCATCACTTCTGGGCACTGACTGGCGGCACTGACTGGCACAACCCCTGGGCACTGACTGGTGGCACTGACTGGCAGCACTGGTGGGTGGCACTGGTGGGTGGCACTGGTGGACAGCACTGGTGGGTGGGCACAGGTGGGTGGCACTGGTGGGCACAGGTGGGTGGCACTGGTGGGCACAGGTGGGTGGGCACAGGTGGGTGGCACTGCTGGGCACATGTAGGTGGCACTGCTGGGCACAGGTAGGTGGCACTGCAGAGTGGCACAGGTGGGGGCACTGCTGGGCACAGGTGGGGGCACTGCTGGGAATGGGTGGGCGGGGCTAGTGGGCGCACAGCTGATCGGAACTTGCGGGGGTCACTGCTGGGCACCGATCATCAGGGCACTGATCATCAGTGCCCTGATGATCGGTGCCGATCCCCGCTCTGACAACTGCCGGTTCTCGGCAGTACTTTCCTCACGATCTGACAGCGTGAGGAAAGTGCAGCCGAGAACCGGCACTTGCATTTTCCTGTGATCAGCGTGTCATTGGACACCGCTGATCACGTGGTAAAAGGCCGGTGGGATCGGCCTTTCACCACATCTCGTGATCAGCTGTGTCCGTAGGACACAGCGATCACGGAGATCGCCGGGTGCGCGCCCCCTGGGGCGCGCAGGAGAGCGCGTTCTGGGAGGACGTCATATGACGTCCACTCAGAACTGGCCGGCCGCGGTGTGAAGCCGTCATTCGGCTATGCGCGGTCGGCAAGTGGTTAATAAAGTGTTATGCTGCACTTAGAGGCGCTTCTTCTCCTTCTCTCCCCTACAGAGTCTGCTACAGTACTTGTTAGAAGCATTGTCCTTAGTGCCATACGGGCCAACCCAAGTTCATCCACAACACCACCAGCACCCAGGACTTTGTTCAGTTTTGCGCTGATCATCCCCTTCATCTCTCCTGACAATTTAGACAGGAGCCAATTCACCTAACAGTGTCAAAACATTAAACAAATACTGCAGCGCTCATAAAAAAATGAATAACTCATATAAAGTGTAATTCATAAGAAAACCCCTCAAATTAAAGGGGCTAAACCAAAAGTGCTAGAGTGCAATAAAGTGTCCACACTTCAAAAAATGCTCAAATGATCAGAAAAATGTCCAAAGACAATCTATGAGTGATACATAAAATCATGCAGTGTGCAATAGTGTTTAACAATTCCGTGATTCCGTGCCAACACACTTCTTCTGTTTGCGGCCAAATTGCCTCCTCACCTCCTCCAGGTGACCCCTAGGGGCCAAACCGCTTGCAGGACCACCCTGGATCCTTAATCATAAAAGCCAGCAGCCTTCTTCCTCCAGTGGATCTCCTTATTATTATTATTATTATACAGTATTTATAAAGAGCCGATAGTTCGCTCAGCGCTGTACATTACAAAGGGAGACAGAACATGTGACAGAACAATACCAATACAATGCGATACATGAGGGGATTGAGGGCCCTGCTCTTTTGAGCTTACAATCTAGGAGGGGAGGGGATGGTGG